AGGTCAGGAGTTCGAGACCAACCTGGCCAACATGGTAGAAACCTGTCTCTACTAAAAATGCAAAAAATTAGCCAGATGTTGGTGCATGCTGGTAATCCCAGCTACTTGGGAGGCTGAGGCAGGAGAATCACTTGAACCTGGGTGGCGGAGGTTGCAGTGAGCCGAGATCACGCCACTGCACTCCAGCCTGGGTGACAAAAGCAAAACTCTGTCTCAAAAAAAAAAAGTTACCCCTTGAGCCATGGGATGCAGAATGGATATTGTGTTACAGGCATGAAAACAACACTCATCTCCTTGTGCATCTCCATCGGAGCTCTTGGTGTATTGTTAGTAAACAGTAATATTTTGAAAGGAATCATTTTTTTTCTGGGCAGTAAGTTTCAATAGTGGGCTTACAATATTTAGTAAACCGTGCTATAAATAGATGTACTATCACCCAGACTTTGTTTTTCTATTTATAGAGCACAGGTAGAGGAGATTTAGAAAAATTCTTAAAGGCCCTAGGATTTTCAGAATTGTCAATGACCACTGGCTTCAAATTAAAGTAACCAGGTGCATTAGCCCTAACAGGAGTCAGCCTGTCCTTTGAAGCTTTGAAGCCAGGCATTGACTTCTTCTCTCTAGCTATGAAAGCCCTGGATGGCATCTTCTTCCAACAAAAGACTAGTTTGTGTATGCCGAAAATCTGTTGTTTAACTGCATTTATCAGTGATCTTAGCTGGGTCTTTTGTAGAACTTGCTGCAGCTTCTCCATCAGCACCTGCTGCTTCACCTTGCGAATTGATGTTATGGCCATGCCTTTTTTTCCTTAAACCTCATGAACCAACCTCTGCAAACTTCCAGCTTTTCTTCTGCAGCTTTGTCATCTTTCTCAGCCTTCATAAAATTGAAGAACATTAGGGCCTTGCTCTAGAGTAGGCTATATAGCTTAAAGGAATGTTGTGGCTGGTTTGATCTTCTGTCCAAACCACTCAAACTTCCTCTCTATCAGCAATAAGGCTGTTTCAATTTCTTGTCATGCATGTGTTCACTGGGGAAGCACTTTTAATGCCCTTCAACAACTTTTCCTTTGCATTCACAACTTGGCTAACTGTTTGGCACAAGAGGCCTAGATTTGGGGCCTGTTTCAGCTTTTTTTTGGAGGCTGAGTTTTGCTCTGTCACCCAGGCTGGAGTGCAGTGGTGCAATCTCAGCTCACTGCAATCTTCATCTCCTGGGTTCAGATGATTCTCCTACCTCAGCCTTCCAAGTAGCTTGCATTACAGGTGCACGCCACAACACCTGGTTAATTTTTGTATTTTTAGTAGAGATGGGGTTTTGACCTCAAGTGATTCACCCACCTTGGCCCTTCAAAGTGCTGAGATGACAGGCATGAGCCACTGCACCCAGCCTGGGCCTGTTTCAGCTTTTGAAATACCTTCCTCACTAAGCTTAATCATTTCTAGTTTTTGATTTAAAGTGAGAGATGTACAACTCCTCCTTTCACTTGAATACTTAGAGTCCACTGTAGTGTTATTAACTGGCCAAATTTCAATATTGCTGTGTCTCGGGAAATAGGGAGGCCTGAGGAGAAGGAGAGAAATGGGGGAATAGCTGTTTGTGGAGCAGTCAGAACACATTGAACAATTATGGGTGCAGTTGGTGGCATCAAAAAACACTTACAATGATAACATCAAAGATCAGTCATCACAGATCATCATAACACACATCATCTTCATTATAATGTTTGAGGCTGGGCATGGTGGCTTGTGCCTATAATCTCAGTGCTTTGGGAGGCTGAGGCAAGAGGATCACTTGAGCCCAGGAGTTCAAGGCTGTAGTGAGCTGTGATCACACTACTACACTCCAGCCTGAGTAACAGCGCAAGACTCTGTCTCTTAAAAGAAAAAAAGCATGAAATACAGTTGATCCTTGAACAAGACAGGATGGTGGGGTGCCAGCCCCTACCCAGTTGAAAATTCACATATAACTTTTAACTTTTTTTTTAGAAATGGAGTTTTGTTCTGCCATCCAGCCTGGAGTGCAGTGGTGTGATCATGGCTCACTGCAGGCTTGAACCTGTGCTCAAGCAATCCTCCTATCCTAGCCTGCCAAGTAGCTAGGACTACAACAGGCATGCACCACCAAGTCCAGATAATTTGTTTTACTTTTTGTAGAGATGGGTCTCACCATATTGCCCAGGCTGGTCTGAAACTCCTGGCTTCAAGTGATCCCCCCACCTCAGCTTCCCAAAACACTGGGATTGGTATGAGCTGCCATGCCTGACTTCAAAAACATTTTTTTTTGAGGCAAAGTCTTACTCTGTTGCCCAGGCTGGAGTGAGTGCAGTGGTGCAAACTTGGCTCACTATAACCTCCACCTCCCAGGTTCAAGTGATTCTCCTGCCTCAGCCTCCTGAGTAGCTGGGATCACAGGCACATGCCACCACGCCCGGCTAATTTTTGTATTTTTAGTAGAGGCAGGGTTTCACCATGTTGGCGAGGCTGGTCTCAAATTCCTGACTTCAGGTGATCCGCCCACCTCAGCCTCCCAAGGTGCTGTGATTACAGACATGAGCCACCATATCCAGCCTTCAGAAGTATATATTTTTAAATTATAGATTTAAGGGGTCCAGGTGCAGTTTTGTCAGATGTATATTTTGTGTGGCAGTGAAGTCTGGGCTTTTAGTGCAGCTGTCACCCGAATGTCCATTGTACCTATTAAGTCACTTCTCCTCCCTCAGCCCCCCTGCCATCCTCCCACGCTTCCTAGTCTCCAGTGTCTGTCACTCCACTCTCTATGGGACTTCTCAAAAACTTAACTACTCACAGCCTTCTGTTGACCACAAGCCTTACTGATACCATCAAGTCAATTCACACATATTTTGTCTGTCATGTGTATTAGATACTACATTCTTACCATAAAGTAAACTAGAGAAAAGAAAATGTTATTAAGAAAATCATGGCTGGATTACAGGGTGGCTCAGGCCTGTGATCCCAGCACTTTGGGAGGCCAAGGCGGGCAGATCACAAGGTCAGGAGATAGAGATCATCTGGGTCAATATGGTGAAACCCTGTCGCTACTAAAAAAAAAACCAACAAAAATTAGCTGGGTGTGGTGGTGGGTACCTGTAATCCTAGCTACTCAGGAGGCTGAGACCGGAGAATCGTTTGAAAATGGAAGATGGAGATTGCAGTGAGCTGAGATCTCGCCACTATACTCCAGCCTGGGTGAAAGAGCGAAACTCCACCTCAAAAAAAAAAAAAAAATTAGGAAGAGAACTATATTGACAATTTACAATTTATTTTATTTATTTATTTATTTATTTTTTCAAGATGGAGTTTCACTCTTGTTACCCAGGCTGGAGTGCAATGGCGCAATCTCAGCTCATCGTAACCTCCGCCTCCTGGGTTCAGGCAATTCTCCTGCCTCAGCCTCCTGAGTAGCTGGGATTACAGGCACGCGCCACCATGCCCAGCTAATTTTTTGTATTTTTAGTAGAGACAGGGTTTCACCATGTTGACCAGGATGGTCTCGATCTCTTGACCTCGTGATCCACCCGCCTTGGCCTCCCAAAGTACTGGGATTACAGGCGTGAGCCACCGCGCCCGGCGACAATTTACAATTTATTAAGTGGACGTCCTCATCATCATATTGAGTAGCTGGAGGAAAATGAAGAAGATGAAGGGTTGGTTTTGCTGTCTCAGAGGTGGCAAAGGTAGAAGAGGTGGAAGAGGTGGAAGGGGAGGCAGGAGAGACAGGCACACTGTATAATTTTTTTTTTTTTTTTTTTGAGATGGAGTCTGGCTCTGCTGCCCAGGCTGGAGTGCAATGGCTCCATCTTGGCTCACTGCGAACTCCACCTCCTGGGTTCTAGCAATTCTTGTGCTTTAACCTCCCAAGTTGCTAGAATTACAGGCACGCGCCACCACATATGGCTAATTTTTCTATGTTTAGAGGAGACTGGAAGTTTCATGATGTTGCCCAAGCTGATCTCAAACTCCTGGCCTCAAGTGATCCGCCCACTTCAGCCTCTCAAAGTGCTGGGATTACAGGTGTGAGCTGTAATTACAGAGCTGTGATTACAGTGTTGGGATTACCCGGCGTCTAAGTAGCTTTCAAAGAAAAAACATCTGTGTATAAGTGGATCCACACAGTTCAAACCTGTGTTGTTCAAGGGTCAACGCTGCTGTGAGAATTACTGAAATGTGACACCGAGACACAAAGTAAGTACACGCTGTTGTGAAATGGTGCTGACAGACTTGCTCGATGCAGGGCTGCCACAAATCTTCAATTTGTAAAAAAACATAACATCTGTGAAGCGCTATAAGGCAAAGGGTAAGGAAGAGTATGCCTGTCTAAAGACTGAATCTGTATAGGATGGGGAGTTTCCCACTCCTCAAAACAATAAAGCCAGGACTCAGCAGTGTAAGACATTGAGGGAAAGAATGAATGACGGCCAGACGCAGTGGCTCACACCAGTAATCCCAGCACTTTGAGAGGCTGAGGCAGGTGGATCACCTGAGGTCAGGAATTTGAGACCAGCCTGGCCAACATGGTGAAACCCTGCCTCTACTAAAAATACAAAAATTAGCCGGGCATGGTGGCACATGCCTGTAATTCCAGCTACTCGGGAGGCTAAGGCAGGAGAATCAGGAGAATCGCTTGTACCTGGGAAGTGGAGGTTATAGTTCGAGACCAGCCTGGCCAACCTGATGAAACCCCATCTCTACTAAAAATACAAAGAATAGCTGTACATGCCTGTAGTCCCAGAGACTTGGGAGGCTGAAACATGAGAATTGCTTGAACTCAGTCAGGAGGCAGAGGCTGCTGTGAGCTGAGTTGTGCCACTGCACTCCAACCTGGGCAACAGAGCAAGTCTCTGTCTCAAAAAAAAGAATGAATGAGAAGCTGGGTGCAGTGGCTCATGCCTATCATCTCAGCACTTTGTGAGGCTGAGGTGGGTGGATGGCTCGAGCCCAAGGGTTTGAAAGCAGCCCGGCAACATGGTGAAATGCCGTCTCTACTAAACATACAAAAATTGGCTGGGTGTAGTGGCATGTGCCTGTAGTCCGAGCTACTCTGGGTGCTGACATGGGAGGGTCACTGGAGCCCGGGAGGTTCAGGCTACAGTGAGCGGTGATCACACCACTGCACTCCAGGCTGGGCAAAAGAGTGAGAGTCCATTTCAAAAAAAAAAGAAAAAAAGGGGGGACCAGATTTGCAATGCCTCAGACACCTGGAAGAAGCAGATGCAGCTCCTTGGAGGAATGTACCCTCTACCTATGCATGAAAGAAGTGTGACCGAGAAATTTTTAAAAAGATGAGCTAACAACCCCTAAATCACAAAATACATAAGGAAATATGTTTTCACAGGTAAGATTCAGCAATACAAGCCAATCAGCCCTACAGACTTTAGATAGGGGAGTTAACAGATAATAGCCAGATAAAATAGGGGGTTCTCAGCTAACTTTGAATTTCAGATAAGCAATGAATAAATGTTTAGTGTAAGTATGTCCCACACAATATTTGGGACAAACTTAGACTAAAACCTTATTTGTTAATTACCTGAAATTCAAATTTAATTTTGCATTTTGTATTTGTGTTTTTATTATTTTTAAAAAATTATATATTTTTCGAGACAGGATCTCACTCTGCTGCCCAGGCTGGAATGCAGTGGTGAAACCATGGCTCACTGCAACCTTGACCTCCCAGGCTCAAGTGATCCTCCCACCCCAGCCTCTGAAAGCATTGAGATTACAGCCCTGAGCCACCACACCTGGCCTACATTCTGTATTTTTATTTTTTTAATTTTTATTTATTTATTTATTTTGAGATAGGATCTCACTCTGTTGCCCAGGCTGGAGTGCAGTGGCCCAGTCTTGGCTCACTGCAGCCTCCACCTCCCGGGTTCAAGCGATTCTCCCGCCTTAGCCTCTTGAGTAGGTATAACAGGCATGCACCACCATAACCAGCTAATTTTTATATTCCTAGTAGAGACAAGGTTTCACCTGACCTCAAGTGATCCACCCGCCTTGACCTCCCAAAGTCCTGGGATTATAGGCATGAGCCACCATGCCTGGCCCACTCTGTATTTTTAATTGCTAAATCTGAGAGCTTTCGATACAAACTGCAAAGTAAATATATATTTAAGAAATGAAAAAATTGGAAAGAGAAGTGATGAGCAAGAGACCATCAGAAATGACTGGATACATATGAAAGAGGAGTAAATGGACCTTTTAGAAATGGAAATTACGTCAATCTAAAATGAAAACTAAATGGAAGATTCAGAAGTAAATACACCGATGCTGCAACTGACTTTAGTGTGCACAATGTTGAGATTGTGCATAGAGAGGTCAACAGTGGAAAGATATGTGATAAAACAAGAAGAGTAAAATATTAATTGTAAAATATAGATGGTGGGTATATGGGAGTTTAACATAATATTCTTTCAACTTATCCATAGTTTGAAAATTATCATGGTAGAATGTTGGGAACAAACCAGAAAAGTTAAACAGCATACTGGAAACGTTTAAATACTGAACTAGAGGGTCAATCTGTAGGAATTTCAAAGAATGTAGTCCAGAAACAAGAAATAGAGACCGCGAGAGACTGCTCGCTATGGTCTGCGTGCTCCTGTTCCCCAGAAAGTCCTATGTTGAAATCCCAAGCCCCAAGGTGATGGTATTAGGAGGTAGAGCCCTTGGGAGGTGGTTAAGTCTTAAGGGCACACGATGAGATTAGTACCTTTTAAAAAGAGGCCCCAGAGACAGCCCATCCCACTCCTTCCCCATGAAACTGCAAGAAGACAGCCATCTATGAACCAGGAAAGGGGCCCTCACCAGAACCTGACCATGCTGCCACCTTGATCTTAGACTTCCCAGCCTCCAGACCTGTGAGAAATAAATTTCTGCTGTTTATAAGCCACCCAGTCTATGGTGTTTTTGTTATAGCAGCTTTAACAGACCTAGACACTCACTAACCTAAGTGCTTGCCGGCTGGTGCGGTGGCTCACACCTGTAATCCCAGCCCTTTGGGAGCCCAAGGCGGTGGATCACTTGAGGTCAGGAGCTCGAAACCAGTCTAGCCAACATGGTGAAACCCCGTCTTTACTAAAAATACAAAAATTAGCCAGGTGTGGTGTTGGGCACCTGTAATTGCAGCTGTTTGGGAAGCTGAGGCAGGAGAATCGCTTGAACCTGGAAGGTGGAGTTTGCAGTAAGCCGAGATCACACCACTGAACACTAGCCTGGGTGACAGAGTAAGACTCCATCTCAAAAAAAAAAAAAAAAAAAAAAAAAGATATGTGCCTGTGAAGAGAGAAGTTGCCGTACACGTCCTACAAGATCTAGAAGAAGGTAACAGAATGAGGGAGAGGTAATACTAAAGTAATAGTTGCTGAGAATTTTTCATAACTGATGAAAGATAGTAATTCATAGATTCAGAAATTCCTATAAATGTCAAGAAGGATAAATAAAAAGCTATTTGCTTTCTACTAGGAATTTACAAAGGATCTATATTTCACAAAGAAAGAAAGTGATCCTGGACAAAAGATCTGAAGTGTGGGTCATTCTAAACAAAGATTGGTGGTTAGAAAGCAATAATATTGTCCAATTTGTGGGGCTAAAGAAAACCGGCAAGAGCACCTTCCGTAGTTGAACAGATAAACGGTGGCACATCCAAACAAAGGAATCTTGTTCAGCAGTAAAAATAAATGAACCATCGGCCAGGCGCAATGGCTCACACCTGTAATCCCAGCACTTTGGGAGGCTGAGGCAGCTGATCACGAGGTCAGGAGATTGAGACCTTCCTGGCCAACATGGTGAAACCCCATCTCTACTAAAAATACGAAAAATTAGCCGGGGGTGGTGGTGCACATCTGTAGTCCCAGCTACTTGGGAGGCTGAGGCAGGGGAATTGCTTGAACCCGGGAGGCAGAGGTTGCAGTGAGCCAAGATTGCACCATTGCACTCCAGCCTGGGGGCAGAGTGAGACTCTGTCTCAAAAAATTAATTAATTAATTAAATTAAAAATAAATAAATAAACTAGCTATCAAGTCATGAAAAGACATGGAGGAACCTTAAATGCAAATTGCTAAGTGAAATAAACCAATCTGAAAAGTCTACAGATTGTATTATCCCAACTATACAACATCCTGGAATAGGCAAAATTATGGTGACAATAAAAAGATCAGTGGCTGTCAGGTTAGCAGAGAGGGAAGGATGACTATGTGGAACACAAAAGATTTCTAGGGCAGTGAAAATATCCTGTATGATACTACAATGGCAGACACAATGTATTTGTACATTTATCCAAACCCATAGAATATACAATACCGAGAGTAAACCCTAATGTAAACTATGGGCTTTGGGTGAAATGATGTGTCAATGTAGGTTCACGGGTTATAGCAGAGGTACCGCTCTGGTGGAGGATGTTTATAATGGGTGAGGCTGTGCACATGTGGAGGCAGGGAGTGTATGGAGAACATCTCTACTTCCTTCTTTTTTTCTTTTTTTTTGAGACAGGATCTCTCTCTGTTACCCAGGCTAGAGTGCAGTGGTGCGATCTTGTGCACCACAACTTCTGCCTCCCGGGTTCAGGCAATTCTCCTGCCTCCGCCTCCTGAGTAGCTGGGACTACAGGCGCCCACCACCATGCCTGGCTAATTTTTGTATTTTTAGTAGAGACGGGGTTTTACCATGTTATCCAGGCTGGTCTCAAACTCCTGACCTTAAGTGATCTGCTCACCTCAGCCTCCCAAAGTGCTATTAGAGGCATGAGCCACCACACTCAGGCTGTACTTTCCTCTTAATTTTACTGTGAAAATTTTTCTGTAAAAAAAAAAAAAAAGTCTTTAAAATTAAAAAGAAAAGAAAAGGCCTGGCTAGACCCAATAGCAATGTAACCTTAGAAGGGGGTGACTGGAGTTAAAGGGTGATTTGGTGTAAAGCTGACGACTTGAATCATCGTTAGGTTTTGTTAAGGTAGGTGGTGAAAATTCCAAGGGTAACTACAATAAGAAAAAAAATTTAGTGCATATCTTTAAAACAGGTAAAGGACAAAATATGGAATGAGTTTATATTTAAAAACAAAATTTATGCTCTTTTTGCAGATAAATAAATGCCAGTGCATCAGTAATAATAAACGTAAAATAGTGAAAAATACAGTTAGTAATAATAGGTTTTCACATTGGAGCTCAGTTCTTTATCTGCAACTTACCATTTAGATAAGTCACACCCAGTCCCATAGAAGAAAGATAGAGTCGGGTAGAGGGAAGCAGGGATTTCTACTGTATCAGAAGCCCCTCTACAATGGAAACCAGAAGCTACAGAAACCTAATAACTCTTCCTGCTCTTAGGGTCTAGACATAGTTCTTTCCGTCATTAGATTATTTCACAAAATTCAGTAAAAGGTGAATCCTAAAATATTTAAAAATCACTGGGCGTGGTGGCTCACACCTGCAATCCCAGCACTTTGGGAGGCCGAGGCAGGCGGATCACCTTAGGTCAGGAGTTTGGGACCAGCCTGGCTAACATGGTGAAACCCCATCTCTACTAAAAATACAAAAAATTAGCCGGGTGTGGTGGCGTACACCTGTAATCCCAACTACTTGGGAGGCTGAGGCAGGAGAATTGCTTGAACCTGGGAGCTAGAGGTTGCAGTGAGCTGAGATCGCACTGTTACACTCTAGCTCGTACAGAAAGAGTGAAACTCCATTTCAAAAAATAAAACTTAAAAAAAAAAAACCTATAAAGGATGTAAGAATTAACCACACACTTTAAATTTTTTCTTAGAAAAATATCAATATTCGGATGGGCACAGTGGCTCAAACCTGTAACCCCAGCACTTAGGGAGGCCGAGGCAGGTGGATCACCTGAGGTCGGGAGATTGAGACCAGTCTAACCAACATGGAGAAACGCTGTCTCTACTAAAAATACAATATTATCCAGGCGTGGTGGCGCATGCCTGTAATCCCAGCTACTCAGGAGGCTGAGGCAGGAGAATTGCTTGAACCCAGGAGGCAGAGGTTGTGGTGAGCCGAGATTGCACCATTGCACTCCAGCCTGGACAATAAGAGGAAAAGTCCATCTTAAAAAAAAAAAAAAAGAAAAAAAGAAAAATATCAATATTCCCATATAGGGAAAAATAAACTCTTGCTAAACGCAACAGTGAGGCTATGAATTTATGTAGCTTTACTTTTTCCATTTCTTTCCATTTTCTCATTTGTATTTGACAAATTCCGTATTTACCCTGTTTATGATACTCCCATCCATGAGCAATAAATATTTTCAACCATTTGTCAAGACCTTTAGGCTGGGCATTGTGGCTCATACCTATAATCCCAGCATTTTGGGAGGCCGAGGCAGGCAGATCACCTGAGGTCATGAGTTCGACCTGGCCAACATGGTGAAAACCCATCTCTGCTAAAAATACAAAAATTAGCCAGGTGTGGTGGCGTGCACCTGTAATCCCAGCTACCTGGGAGGCTAAGGCAGGAGAATTACTGGAAACCGGGAGGTGGAGGTTGCAGTGAGCCGAGATTGCACCGCTGCACTCCAGCCTGAGCGGCAGAGCCAGACTCTGTCTCAAAAACCAAACCAACCAACCAATCAACCAAACAAACGAAAACAAGAACATTGCAATACATCATATTTCATGATAAGAACACAGGAATACGAAGATGTCTTCTGCTATGTTTGGGGGGGAAATATTATAGATAAAATTGTCCTTCACCTCTCTCTAGCAGCAATCTGGTTGGGGAAACTGAAATCACGGTAAATGGGGTAGCCCTATTAGTCTACAGGTGTTCTTATCTTCCGTTCCATGCCCTGTTTAAGAAGGGGCATCTTATTAGCTGAGCGTGGTACCTGTGGTCCCAGGTACTCAGGAGGCTGAGACAGGAGGATCGCTTTAAACGAGAAGTTCAAGGCTGCAGTTAGCTGTGATCGCAAGATTGTACTCCAGCCTTGGAGACAGAGTGAGACCCTGTCTCATGTGACCAATGAAAAGTTGCACAGAAGGTTGCTGGGAAGTTTTTTCCTTGCACTTAAGGGAGACTACTGGGAAAACAGGCTTATTTTCTCCCTGTGGATGTGGCAAAGAAACACGTACCCTCAACCCTCAACTTTTTTATTTTTTTGATATGGAGTTTCATTTTTGTTGCCCAAGCTGGAGTGCAATGGCACAATCTCAGCTCACTGCAACCTCTGCCTCCCAGGTTCAAGCAATTCTCCTGCTTCAGCCTCCCAGGTAACTGGGATTACAGGCACGTGCCACCATGCCCGGCTAATTTTATATTTTTAGTAGAGATGGGGTTTCACCATGTTGGCCAGGCTGGTCTCAAATTCCTGACCTGAAGTGATCCATACGCCTTGGCCTCCCAAAATTCTGAGATTACAGGTGTGACCCACCACGCCCGGCCCAGCCTCAACTTTTATCAGGAGTCATTCTGCCCAAAACACCTCCAAGGCCCACTGCCTCTGGACTTCACCAGCTAGCCTGATCAAGGTTTAAGGCAGTTTGTTTGAAGGATAGGCCAGTTTGTGTTCGATCTTCTCTCACTAGGACCTAGAACGTCTCTAGTTTTTGTAATAATGATGCCTTCACATTAAGACATTATTGAAACATTCTACTATGAATCTACTACTGAGAGGGCACACCTGCTTAGTGAGTTTGGAAAGCTTAGCAAGAACTACTTGGCTTGCATGTTAATGAAATGAGAATTAGCAGACTTCCCCCTATGGTTTTAAGTATATGTGAAACTCATTGCATGGCAAACACTGCTAGTTGCCCACACAATGTCTGCTTTCTCCTTCTTCTTTACTAACAAAACTCAATTATGTTGTAGATAGCAAAACGTGTCCTTAAGATGACATACTCTTGTTTCTCCTGTATCTATGGAGAAGATCTTACATCAGCGAGATGTACGCAGAAGTAATTGGGTAGGACTTGCAGAGAAGTTCTTCGAAAGGCCAGACCCCGATAGACCCTCTTTCGCTTCTTGTACCTTCTGGCTTTCTGGAATGTGGATGTGAGGTTTGGAACTTCAGGAGCCATTTGGACAATGAAGCAACCTTGCAGATGGAAGTCACATGTTAAATATGTGGATCAGAAAGATAGAAAAGGCCTGGGAACTTGATGATTGTGGAGCTGCCATCCAGTGCTGAGCTCCCTGCCTCTGAGTTTCCTTACATGAAAAAGAATAAATCTAGCTAGGAAGGGTGGCTCTCGCCTGTAATCCCAGCACTTCAGGAAGCCGAAACAGGTGGATCACCTGAGGTATGGAATTTGAGGCCAGCCTGGCCAACATGATGAAACTCTGTTTCTACTAAAAATACAAAAATTAGCAGAATATCTGTAGTCTCAGCTACTCGGGAGGCTGAGGCAGGAGAATTGCTTAAACCCAGGAGGCGGAGGTTACAGTGAGCCAAGATCCGACACTGCACTCCAGCCTGGGTGACAGAGTAAGACTCGGTCTCAAAAAAATAAAAGAAAGAAAAAGAATAAACCTGTATCATATCTGATCCACGTTTTGATTTTCCATTATATGTGCCAACAAAATCTAATCCCAATTAATGTGTGGCGTGCCACAGTTAAGAACAAAAACTCTGGAGTCAGATCTGAAACAGAGATCTTACTGTGCAACTACGTAGCTGTGTAACCTCGGACAAGTTAGTTAACTTCTCTAAGCCTTAGCTCATCATCTATTACAAGGACCATGGACGGTACCTATGTGGTGAGACTGTTGTAAGGATTAAGTGAAATAACACATGAAAAATGCTTAGTGCAATGCCTGGCACAGGCATTCAGCACACAGCAGTGGTACATCTGTTGTTTCCAAACAAATATAGAGGCTAGCTGAAACCACAGATATTACAGAGGGAAACAAAGAAGAAATTGGTGGTCTCCAATCTAAGCTGGACACCCTTATTACCCTTTCTGTGTAGCTTTTGTCTTCCAGCTCTCTCATTCACACTCCCAACACATTCTCCCCACACCTGTGCCAATACTTACTATTCCTACCCCTCTTGGTATATGACACTGTCTCCCACTTCACAGAAAAAAATGGAATTATCAGGAGCGAAACCCCTGAATGTCCTGCTCCCATACCAACTAACTTCTTCCCAGGGTATTTCCTCTTCTGCCCAAAGCTAATTCTTCCATCTGTGCTTTGGTGCCAATTCCTCCCATCAACTCAGAGATGTGGACTCATTGTACCCTACCTCCCTCTCTTGTGTCCCAGCTTACAGATGAGCTCACAGCTCTGCTGTCTTACAGAAATCAAGACACGACAAAATACTGTCCCTCTTTGAACATGGTGTAAGGGTTATTGCCGAGTTTAGAATGAGGAAACTGAGACCAGCATAAGAAAATTAAATGCCAATTTATTTAACTCCCTGGCGAGGTTCCATGGTCCTGAGGAAAAGGGCCAGGGAAGTCACGCTTGACTCTTCTGGGTGTGGGGTTTTATAGGGAGTGAAAGCGTTTTGATTGGTTGTGGGAAAACCAGACGTGATTGGGGCAAGCTGCTATTGGTAGGTAGGCGGGATTTCCGGTGGGCAGGCCGCCCGGGGGAGTGGGACCTGGATGGAGCAAAATGCTATTGGGTAGGTTTTGGCGGGGCTTCTTTTTTTTTTTTTTTTTTTGAGACGGAGTTTCACTCATGTTACCCAGGCTGGAGTGCAATGGTGCGATCTCGGCTCACCGCAACCTCCGCCTCCTGGGTTCAGGCAGTTCTCCTGCCTCAGCCTCCTGAGTAGCTGGGATTACAGGCATGCGCCACCATGCCCAGCTCATTTTTTGTATTTTTTTTAGTAGAGACGGGGTTTCGCCATGTTGACCAGGATGGTCTCGATCTCTTGACCTCGTGATCCACCCGCCTCGGCCTCCCAAAGTGCTGGGATTACAGGCTTGAGCCACCGCGCCCGGCCTTGGCGGGGCTTCTTTTAAACTTTGGTGGGGTTTTCCAATGGCAAGCTAGGTGCTAGGTGCAGAGCTTGATGTGGAGGGTGGAGTGGTGATGTAGTTTTCAGGCGCAGAGAGCGATGGGCGTGTCCCAGCCCCGGAGGCAACTGGCCTTACACATGGTACTGTAAGGATTGATCCTTCTTTCTCCTGCCTCTCCTAGCCAATCTCTTTATTAAGGGGAAGTCTGTATTTGCCCTATCCACTGTTGGTAGCACCAGCTGCTATTTACTAAATATTTACTCTGTGCCAGATTATATATATACTCTCCAATCTTCAAATCAATAACACAAAGCAAGACTATCACTATTTTGTGTGTGAATGAGATACCTGAAGCTCAAAGAGATTGAAGTTTCTCTGGTTCAGACAGCTAACATTAAAATGTGACAGAATCAAGATTGCAACCCTAGTCTCTCTGAATGCAGTTCAGATTATTTGCATTCTCTCAGCAGTTCCCAAACCTGCCAGGGCATCAAAATCATCTAGAGGCCAGAAAAGGAAAAAAAAAAAAAAAACCAAAAACAAACAAACCAAAACCCAACAGATTCTTGGGTCTCAGATCTACCAAATCATAGTCCCTTCATAAAGAGCCCAGGAATCTCGACCTTTACAGCTTGTGGGTGGATATGATACAGCCCCATTGACATAGGGCTTCCCCATGCTGCCTCTCACCCTTGCATTCCTCACTTCATCCCAGTTCAGCTTCTAGTTCCACTTGTCAAACCAGATTACCTTCCCGTGTCCTCCTCATGGCCAGATCCACCAGGCATTCTCCAACCTTTGTCTTGCTTGATTTATTAACAGCATTTAACAAGCTGACTAATTTCTACCTTTCTTTGGTTTCCAGAATACCATACTTGACTCTTGGATTTCCTCCCTTCTTTTTGATCTTTTCTACTCTTTGTCTTTCAGCCTCTGGCCACCTCCTAAATGTTGGCACCCCTACCTTAGTTTCTAACTTCACTCTCTTCTCGCTTTAAACACCATGCTTGGGTGATCTCATCCACTCCCATGGATCTAATTACTATTTGTGCATTAATGACTCCCAAACTGGTATTTCTAGCTTCCCTCTTGGCCACCGGATCTATTAGTTTGTATATGAGGAATTGCTAGTTGAATATCACTTAGATCCCCTAACTCAACAGGTTCATAAAGGAATTCACAATCTTCCTGCTCACCGGTCTGGCTCCACAGGTGCATTAGATGGCTCAGTCTGCCAGAACAAAATGTCATAGACTGAGTGGCTTAAACAACAGACAATTTCTCACAGTTCTGGAGGCTGGAAGTCTGAGATCAGGGCACCTGCATGTTCTGGTGAGGGCTCTCTTCCTGGCTTGCAGATGACAGCCTTCTTGTGTGTGTTCATGTGGCCTCTCCTCGATGCATGCTCATTGAGAAGGTGTAGTTTGCTGTCTCTCCCTCTCCCTCTTTTTTTTGGAGGGGTGGGGATGGAGTCTCGCTTTGTCATCCAAGCTGGAGTGCAGTGGTGCCATCTCGGATCCCTGCAACTTCTGCCTCCTGGGTTCAAGCAATTATCTCCTGCCTCAGCCTCCCGAGTAGCTGGGATTACAGGCATGTGCCACCAGGCCCAGCTAACTTTTGTATTTTTAGTAGAGACAGTGTTTCACTATGTTAGCCAGACTGGTCTTGAACTCCTGACCGCAAGTGATCCACCTGCCTCAGCCTCCCAAAGTGCTGTGATTACAGGCGCGAGCCACCTGTATCCCAGAGAGAGCCTGGTCTCTCTCTCTTCTTATAGGGACACAAGTCTTATTGGATTAGAGTCCACTCTTTTAACCTTATTTCACCTTAATTACCTCCTAAAATCCCTACCTCCAAACACAATCACATGGAGAATTAGGGCTTCAATGTATGGATTCTAGGGGAACACAAATATTCAGAACATAGCAACAGCTGTGGAACAGTGCAGCCATACTGTACGGCTGTTGAGTCACACCCTGTGCTCAGAAAGTCCCCATGCCTGATGTTTAATGCCCTTTGATAGATGTTCTGAAATGCTTAATAATGTTATCTTTGAATGTGTGTTTTGTCAGTGAAGTCCTCCAGGACAATGGAGCCTGTGCTGGGTGCTTGGAGCTTCAGCTGACATACCATCCCTGCACCTCTGGGACAGGCTGTCAGCCCACTGCTCCTACCCCCTGGCACCACAGGTCTCCCCTCCTCATCCCCTGTGGCTACTGCCACCTTCTGCACCCCCTGGAGTGGAGTCCTGGGCATGGGTTGGGCACACGTATACTATGGTATCTCAGGGCAAGGCGTAGCAGTGGCCATCCCAGCCCCAGGCTGGAGGTGCCATGGCACATTCAGGGGCAGTTTATCAGGGGAAAGCCTGTTGCCCACCCCTATCCAGGCGTCTAGCATCGTCCTGGCACAGCAGTAACAATACTCGTGGCAGCCATCCATGTAGAGACAGGGTTTTGCCATGTTGGCAAGGCTGGTCTTGAACTCCTGACCTCAGGTGATCGCCTGCCTTGGCCTCCCAAAGTGCTGACATGCCTGTAATGACAGGGATTAGCCACAGTGCCCAGCCACATCTCAATTTTTTGCAGGTTATAGCCTTGCCTATTTAGGAAGCTGTTCAAGACCCTACACCCTGCCCTTCCCTTGCTGTGCTGATATTTGATGTCGCCGTCTCTCGATACCAGCTTGCACAGAACTCGAGCCACTTTTCTTCCTGTGCTCCAGCCTTGCTATTCTTTTACCTACCTCAAAAATCTTTTCACTCATTTAATAATACGCATTCTATCCAACTGAAGTTCTACCTCCATTTTTATTTGATTTAACATACCTTTTAAAAGCATTACCGCTGAGTGCGGTGGCTCATGCCTATAATCCCAGACCTTTGGGAGGCCAAGGTGGGCAGATCGCTTGAGGTCAGGAGTTTGAGAACAGCTTAGCCAACATGGTGAAACCCCATCTCTACTAAAAATACAAAAATTAGCTGGACATGGTGGTGTATGCCTATAATCTCAGCTACTCAGGAGGCTGAGACAGGAGAGTCACTTGAACCCAGAAGGCGGAGGTTGCAGTGAACCAAGATCACACCACTGCACTCCAGCCAGCACAACAGAGTGAGATACTGTATCAAAAAACCAACCAAACAAACAAACAAAAAACTGAAAATTAGCCAGGTGTGATGGCACATGCCTGCGGTCTCTTGTACTCAGGAGGCTGAGGTGGGAGAATCACCTGAGCTCAGGAAGTCAAGGCTGCAGTCAGTCGTGATTGCAATACTGCATTCTAGCCTGGGTGACAGTGAAGAGCCTGTCTCAAAACAACAACAACAACAACAAAACCTGTTACTATGCATGAAGCAGCATTTGCATACTTTACATATATGGATTACTTATCCCGATGACATACAGACTATTATCAATTGCCAACTTATCAATTGCCAACTTATAGATGCAGTTAACCAATTTCCCCAGGACATAGAGCCAGGGCTTGAACCCAAACAGCTGCTAGTGACCAGTGTCCGCGCTCTCCACCCCTGCCTAGTGCTGCCTCCAGCAAGCCTTCATGGCCACTCCAGGCCATTGTGCATTCTTGTTTGCCTGTTTGTTTATATTTGAAATGTCTTGCTGGAATTTTTTTCCCGACACATCGTGAAAGTTCCCTTTCATCTTCTGGCTTTCTGGGTATCTGCTTTGCGGTATCTTAAAATCCTTAATCAAGCATATTACACATGATTCCATATACAGATTGACAGATGCCTTTGTGGGTAAAAGGAGAGAGAAAAAAAAATACACAAGAGCTTAACACTTCTCATGGTTTGTTAGCACAAAATTACATTTTGTGCATTTTTCAAAAGCGAGATCATAGGGGCTCAGTTTCTGCAATGGCATGCGCATCAGGCTTCAATCACAGATTAGAAACTGCTCTGGGTGTCTTACACAGAAAAGGAGTTTAATCCAAGGAATAAGGTGCTTACAGAAATGTTTGTGGGTTGGAAAAGCAGGCTTTAGGCTGGACCTTTCAGAATGACAGGGCCCCAGTGACCCTCTGCTTTTCCCATAAGTGGCCTAAGTTAATCTCTGAAATGGTGCATGATTCACTTGACCCACAACACCCACAAGATTACACAAATCACAAAGTTCAAATCTCTGTGTTCACTTCACGAATACCCAGTTTCACTTCGTGAAACTGCCCAGGCCACCAAGGCTTTGCATATCCCCAAAGCCACCCAGTATCTGAAAGATGTCACAATACAGAAGCAACGTGTGCCATGCTGCCTTACCATAGTGGAGTCGGCAGCAGTGCCTAGGCCAGACAGTGGGGATAATGCAGGGTCGGTGGCCCAAAAAGTGTGCTGAATTATTGCTGCCCCAAAATGCAGGGAGTAATGTTGACCTTAAGAGTTTGGATGTAGATGCTGTAGTCATTGAGCACATGAAGGCGAACAAAGCCCCCAAGATGGCCCATGAAAATCGGAGCTCACGGTCAGATGAACCAATGCATGCCCTCCTGACACGCTAAGATGACCCTTCCTGAAAAAAAAGACAAAACTGTTCCTAACCTGGAAGAGGAGATTTCACAGAAGAAAAAGATACGCTGAAAGAAACTGAAGAAACAAAAAGTTATGGCTCAGGAATAAATTGGTATAACATAAATGCAAATAAAGTAAACTGCCTGGCCAGTCGCGGTGGCTCACGCCTGTAATCCCAGCACTTTGGGAAGCCGAGGTGGGAAGATTACCTGAAGTCAGGAGTTCAAGACCAGGCTGACCAATGTGGTCAAACCTGATCTCTACAAAAAATACAAAATTAGACAGGCATGGTGGCACATGCCTGCAATCTCATCTACTCGGGAAGCTGAGGCAGGAGAATTGCTTGAACCCGGGAGGTGGAGGTTGCAGTGAGCCAAGATCATGCCATTGCACTCCAGCCTGGGCAACAAGAGTGAAACTCCATCTAAAAAAAAAAGTAAACCACCTGAGGAATGGCTACTTTATCATTACTGGAAGCTTTTGGAATTAGGACACCACCATGTAAATCACAGGCTCTAGGACAGACACAGTTGACATTTGGGACAGGATAATTCTTTGTGAAGGGGGCTGCCCTGTGCATTGCAGGATGCCTGACAACATCACTGGCGTCTACCCACTACATGCAGATAGCACCCCCTCAGTCACAACAATAAGAAATGTCTCCAGGCCGGGCACTAAGGCTCATGCCTGTATTCCCAGTAATTTGGGAGGCTGAAGCCGGAGGATCACTTGAGCCCAGGAATTCAAAACCAGCCTAGGGAACATAAAGAGACACCATCTCTACAAAAACGTTTT